TGTTTGTGGTACATCAACTTTTACTCTCTTATAAAGTAACAAAAAATGATATGCTTTAAGATCAGTAACTGACAAAAACTGTGCTATACTAGAAGCTGATTTTCAGAGTCACTCTTGGCCAAAATAAAATGGGGGCAGGGAGAGGGTAAGAATAGTTAAAACAAACAAACAAAAAGTCAACAGCATACTTTGATTCAGGCTGACATATCTTGTGTTGAGGCTCAGATGTTCAAAGTTAAACTTCTACCCACAATACTGATTTGTATCCGGTGCCCTCTCTTGTAACATATCTCAGGTGCACCCAGGGCTTTTGTCATTATGCAGTAGGTTTGGAGGAAGGCAGAGCTACAATGATTACACAATTCCTTCCTTTTTTCAAACATCGCTCTTGGCAAGTTTGTTTTAAAATGTAACTTCAGCTCCAAAGTATTCAAATATCTATAAATAATCCTGTACATTAGTCGACTGCACTGTCAAAGCTTCTGATTACTGACAAAGTCTACTGAAATGGGAACCATTTTTGCCTAAAAATGTGAACATTTTAGTCATAAACTTCTCTAATTAGCACACAATTTCAGTTGGGGGGGAGGGGGGGAGTTTTCCCAAAGAAACTTGGGTTATGTAGTATCCAAAAAGCCCACTACCTCTTCCAAGGTGAAAACTACCAAACCCTCACGCTGTTTCAAGTGAAATCCATGCTACCCATACCTAAAGTAGGAGTATCTGCTTTCCTGACAATGCCTATGACAGAGGAACAGGAATTAGTAATTTTTTTATGGCAATAAGATCTCAATTTCTGTCATCTGAAGCACCAGTAAATTAAAATGAAGAGGACACATGAAGTATTTTCTAGCCATAAGAATCATACTAAAGAAATGAAAATAGGATGTTATCTGGAACTAGATTTCAACATCACGTGAATGGAAAAACACTTTATATCTCTCTAAAATGCAGGACAAGTGCAGCTAGGTAATGATTTTTTCACCTTGACATAAAGTTTAAGAAGCAGAAGGGTAATGAGAAAAGCATGCTGCTCCCTCCTCTTTCACCTTTTGTCCCCGTAAGTGGCAGTAAAACCTTATGTATTAAGATGAGAAAAGGTCAAGGGGAGGGGACAGGGACCAAGAGGAAGAAATACCATGAGAAAGACTTAAGACTTACATACAGAGGGTCTCTTTGCTATTTTTGGATAGAAGAAATGCTATGTGTGTGCATATGTTTTCATTTCTGTCATTATTTCAATGACATATCATTTCTAATATTCCTGTTTAAAATCAGGTTGTACAAGATTACACATTTTTAATTTTTAAAAATAATGTTTGCTGCTCATTAAAAAAAAAAAAAAAAAAAAAAAGCAAAGGAAACAAGGAGAGTACTTCCATTAGTAGGGATTTTGTGTGCTTTTTCACCACTTAGACTACACATGACCCTAACTTGCAATTAATGCATTTAAAATGAGTCAATACGCTGCTGCCATTTTCAGTAAGAAATCTATTCAAATCCTATTCGTACAGACAGTACTCAATCAAGCATGCTCTCATATTCAGCCAATTTCTTACTGGGTCTATGCTCCAGTGACTGACTGAGAAATTAGTCTCAGCAAATGAGATCATTATTACTCCCTGTACCTGCACCCATCTAGGAACATCTGAGACAAGACAGACTGTTCAGTTGCATCTTCCTTAACAGTTAATTCCTAAAAATAATTGAATGTTCCACTGCAGCACAGAGATGCATTCTTTTATCTCCCTGCCTTTTAAGAATAAGCCTTAAGATTTCACTCAACACAAAACTGAATTACTTTGCATTTTTCCAAAGTGAAAATTATATCAGGTAATGTTGTGTGTGACAATAAATAAATAAATAAATAAAAAGAAAAATATATATATATAGATGGTCAGTAAGTGATCAGTACTTTGCTACTGTCAAATCACTTCCACTTCAGAAGAGCTGATGGTTTGGTAAGAAAGTATAATAGACCTCTGGAATTAATCTTCCTGACCACATAACTACTGTATTTCTTCATTAGAAGAATTTTGGCTTTTGAAGACTGATTTGGTAAGTCACTTAAATATGTAAATACTCACCTGAATATTATCTCAAATCCTTGAAGAACACATTTTATTTCCATCTAAAGTGCTATACCTTTTTATTTTCCACTTGAATCAAAGTTTCTTTTTCCTTTTTACTGCTATGATCACTATCTCAAAAAAGAAATTATAATCTAGCCTCAAACCATTAAAGAACAAAATAAAAAACTTGCTTGAGGATATTAATAAAGACATTCCAAAGTTACTGTACAAGCTAATGTCATGTATTTATTTGTAGCTCACAGCTCACACCATTTGGAAAAACAATTTGCAAAAAGCTTTTTGTTTCTATTCTTATTATAGTCAACTGTCAGTCCTACCCTACGAGTCTCTGAGCAAACACTACAGTGGCATCAGAATTCATAAGAAATTCACAGATCAAAACACTAAATCAACAACACAACAAATGGAGCAGTAAGAAGGGTTTTCCCCTCTCTCCTGGCTTAAATGGTTCCCTGAAATCAAAGTTTTATATGGTATATATCTGGCATGACTTTTGTTGTTATCCTCAAAACCTGTGTACGGAAAATTTTCCTTTCATAGACCTAGACTTTCCTATCTCAAAGGAAAAAGTAGGTATGCTTTAATAACATCATCTCAATCCACTTGAAAAGCCTTCTTAATTCTTACTAAAACAATCTAAACTATTTAAGGAAACATTTTGGTTTTATTTAGAACAGTAAACCTTATCTAACGAAGTGCAAAACTAGTATGTTAACTGACGTACACAAGCCCATTTTTAAGAGTCTACTGCAAACATGTTGATTTATACTAACAGAAGCCTGAACCCCAGCATACTGGGTAGGCCAATATGCACTACAGAACGCCATCCTGCATACATCCTCACTCCTAGACAACATACTATACAACCCAATTCACTTTAGCATGCTTACCTGTGGAGGGGGATCCAATAGTTATCCCCACTAAAAATCATATGGAATGTGATAACTAGCATTCGATATCAATGCTAGCTTCCAATTTCACCATCATCAGGAGTACTTTGCCTGTGAACATGTCTACCTGGTTAAAACGCTCCTTAATACATAAAGAAAACCCTGCAATTGCAGTATTGTCCTTTATCTAACAGGACTTCCAGTTGCATTTCTCTCGACTGCTACACTGCTCAGCCATGATACAGTTTGACAGTTTTCCTTCAGCTTTCCTTAAACTTGGAGAGAAACACTAAAAAAATAGCGCTCACCTTCAGTATTGTCAAGTTCATTAATACACTGAAAAGACTGGATTTACAAAGCTCTAAACAACAGTGTTGTTCTGGTTTCCAAAATATAGCTTTAAGGTCAAAGATTCCCCCAGTGACTGGAATATTTGATTATTCCCAGGTTTGTTTTCAATCATGGTATGGTTGCAAGACTAACCAAGGACAGTTAGATATAACTGTCTTATTCTTGAATTAGGACAGAGAGGTTCCCACTCTTTTGTATTTAAGAACAAAATTCCTAAATATTTTAATAAATTTAAAATATGTTTATCAGCAGCCAAATGTCTCACATACGCCCCAACATTCAATCACAATATACTGATGTGCTTTAAAAACTGACAAATGACTCCATATAACTTAAGCTACCTTCTTCCTGACAAATTCCATTCAGTAAGTTCTGCTCCTCTTCGTATACTGAAATATCCAGGAACTTTGTGCAGAGAGGAAAGAAAACTAGCTTGTATTTTTCACTAGAAGAAAAAAAAAAAAGGCGGGGGGGGGGGGGGGGGGGGGGGGGGGGGGGGGGGGGGGGGGGGGGGGG